ATACCCAAACCCCCTGCCCCCCCCCCCCCGCTCACACAATGGTGCCACTACACTAGGTGGGCTCAGATCTCAGACGACTTAAGTATGCTCAGATCAATGACAGACAACAAGGTAGCATCACCTAAAGGCACAGTATAGTGTTTTGTTTTTTTCAGTAAGCACTTATTTTGACTCATTTCTGCAGTATGGATATATTCAGCCGTATTCGAACCTCTGGGCACCATGTGAGATATGCCTTTTCAATGGTGACTTTTTACAAGGTAGGTTGCCAGTTCTTTCTTGGGACTGGCATGCACACGTGCATAATCAATTTGTTCAGACAGGAGCCAATTAACCTACCAGCATATCTTTTAAGTGTGGGAGGAAACCTATGGGAACACACAAACTCCTGGCTGAAATCTGAACCAAGGTCCCCAGTGCTGCAAGGTATAAGTGCTAAGCCACTGGGCCAGCCCATTGCCGTATGTTTGAAGTGCTTCGGCAATATACTTTCCTGGGTAATGTATATTTGTTCTGGATTCATGATTAAGTTTGAGAGTTTATTAAAGTGATAACTTAAAAACATTTGATTTTGATATTTCAAATGCTGATGAAATCACTTACAATGAATGCTGCTCCTTGATGTTTAAAAGTTTTAGTTTCAGCAGAATCAGTTTTACCACCTGAGCACAGGCCCTGATATCCTGTTTTAGTGTGGCTCCTTTCCCTCGCAGGGTCCTTTGGAGCCACTCCTGTGCTAGTAAGCTGAGTGTGTCTCCACAAACACACACAGATACATCATGGTAAGCCACTTCCCTCCGCCCCCCCCTGCTTAAAGTGGTAATAAACGCTCAAACTTAATAATAAATCCAGATCAAACAGATATACAGTATCTCACATTTTTGTAATCATTATTTCATGTGATGACACTTTGCTACAATGTAAAGTAGTGAGTGTACAGCTTGTATATCAGTGTACATTTGCTGTCCCCTCCAAATAACGCAACACACCCCCATTAATGTCTAAACCGCTGGCAACAAAAGTGAGTACACCCCTAAGTGAAAAATGTCCAAAGTGTCAATATTTTGTGTGGCCACCATTATTTTCCAGCACTGCCTTAACCCTCTCGGGCATGGAGTTCACCAGAGCTTCACAGGTTGCCACTGGAGTCCTCTTCCACTCCTCCATGATGACATCACGGAGCTGGTGGATGTTAATGACCTTGTGCTCCTCCACCTTCCGTTTGAGGATGCCCCACAGATGCTCAATAGGGTTTAGTTCTGGAGACATGCTTGGCCAGTCCATCACCTTTACCCTCAGCTTCTTTAGCAAGGTAGCGGTCGTCTTGGAGGTATGTTTGGGGTCGTTATAATGTTGGAATACTGCCCTGCGGCCCAGTCTTCAAAGGGAGGGGATCATGCTCTGCTTCAGTATGTCACAGTACATGTTGGCATTCATGGTTCCCTCAATGAACTGTAGCTCCCCAGTGCCGGCAGCACTCATGCAGCCCCAGACCATGACACTCCCACCACCATGCTTGACTGTAGGCAAGACACACTTGTCTTTGTACTCCTCACCTGGTTGCCGCCACACACGCTTGACACCATCTGAACCAAATAAGTTTATTTTGGTCTCATCAGACCACAGGACATGGTTCCAGTAATCCATGTCCTTAGTCTGCTTGTCTTCAGCAAACTGTTTGCGGGCTTTCTTGTGCATCATCTTTAGAAGAGGCTTCCTTCTGGGACGACAGCCATGCAGACCAATTTGATGCAGTGTGCGGCGTATGGTCTGAGCACTGACAGGCTGACCCCCCACCCCTTCAACCTCTGCAGCAATGCTGGTAGCACTCATACGTCTATTTCCCAAAGACAACCTCTGAATATGACGCTGAGCTCGTGCACTCAACTTCTTTGGTCGACCACGGCGAGGCCTGTTCTGAGTGGAACCTGAACTGTTAAACTGCTGTATGTTCTTGGCCACCGTGCTGTAGCTCAGTTTCAGGGTCTTGGCAATCTTCTTGTAGCCTGGGCCATCTTTATGTAGAGCAACAATTCTTTTTTTTCAAATCCTCAGAGATTTCTTTGCCATGAGGTGCCATGTTGAACTTCCAGTGACCAGTATGAGAGAGTGAGAGTGATAACACCAAATTTAACACACCTGCTCCCCATTCACACCTGAGACCTTGTAACACTAACGAGTCACATGACACCGGGGAGGGAAAAATGGCTAATTGAGCCCAATTTGGACATTTTCACTTAGGGGTGTACTCACTTTTTGTTGCCAGCGGTTTAGACACTAATAGCTGTGTGTTGAGTTATTGGGAGGGGACAGCAAATGTACACTGATCTACAAGCTGTACACTCACTACATTGTAGCAAAGTGTCATTCCTTCTGTGTCGTCACATGAAATGATATCATAAAATATTTACAACAATGTGAGGGGTGTACTCACTTCTGTGAGATACTGTACATTACCCAGCAAAGTATATTGCCAAAGCACTTACAATGATTATGTTTCCAGCTGGGTCCAACTCTCTCAGCTTAGCCTACCTGAACTTCCTGTCCAATACATGATCACAAGGGACAAAACAGTCTTCAGCAGCTGTCCATCTACTAGCTTGGTGTGTCTTGCCCTGCTGTGCATGTGTGTTTGTGGAGGCACACTAAGTTTACCAGCCCACACAAGTGTGGCTCCATAAGACCCTGCAAGGAAAAGGAGACACCCTAAGGACCCATTCACACCACATCCAGATTACCTCCAGACCAGACCAGATTGTTTCCGGATCCATAAAAAAAAAAAAAAAAAAATGCATGGAGCGCACCTGTAAGACCATTTTAATCTAAAAAAATATATATATGTTTTTCATTTTATTTTTTTATTCCAATCGTGGTAAAAATGCAATGCACTATGCTCCAGATCTGGTCCTGAAAATGGTGTGAACCCAGCCTAAACCAGGATCTCAGGGGCAGTGCTCAGGGGACCAACTGATTCTGCAGGAAGTTAAAACTTTTAAACACAAGAAGCACCATCCATTGTTGGGGATATAATCAGCATTGGAAATAGCTTAAAAACCTTTTGTGTTTAATGTCACTTTAACGTCAGGAAAATAAGGTCCTGGTAAATGACACAGCTTTGGTAAATCTACAGGCGAATGTATCGGCAAGGGAAACCTGTTTAGCTTTTTTGTCATTTTTTTATGCTTTTCTTCCCCAGTCCTTTTTATATTAATATATCCAAGGAATACAAAAGAGATTTTTTTTTTTACCACATGACAATCAGCGTAAGATGTAATATGAAGAGAAATGGTATGACAGAAATACAGCTATAATAATTATCAGCTGATCTACCTAAAAATAATATACAAGCACCCAACCCTTGCAGTGTGGGGGCAGCCACACTGCAAGGGTTCATAATCATTTTCCCCAGAGTTCTTCTTTAACTGGTGCAAAAGATCAAAGGGTACACATAGCACAGTAGATATACAGCAAAATTGTATTTGAATTTAAACTGCAGGACAGCTATGTACAAAGTCAGTAAAATCTTGTAGATTAGGCATGAAGATTAGAATACTAATACAAAAATACATCATCCACATACAATTTTCCATTATGTATCACTATTTGAAGTTTTATAAAATATACAGAATGAATATAACACATTTTCGTGGATGAGCAAATGAGGATATACAGTAAATTTGATTAAAGTAACTTACTATACGCATTACAAGAGGCCTGCTTCCCTATGAAGGGGATCTTACCTCAGCCTAAAGACCACTTTGGGATTATATTTATATTATAAGGTCCCTATCAATAGAAATATTGAAGCTGCTTTTGCTGATTGTTCTTGAATATGTTCTTGCAAACTACGGGGCTGTCATTTTAATCCTTGCTTTACTACTTGAGGTGCTACTGACCTGGGACAAGCTATAGGATGTTGCACATCCGATATGCTAATGAGCAATGAAAAAAGTGATAGGATGACCCTCATGATTTTCAAAAACATCTCAGCAATGGCACCTCCCATATACCAGGAGGAGCCGCCACTCATAAATCCACAATTTGCACGTCCCTGTGCCAGCAGGTCCTGGCCAAATGGAAGGTCAGCGCTCCCCAAATATAGTAAACAAAGAAGGCAGCCATCCTCCGATGATATCAGCAGGCAGGCGTATGCAATAGTGAATAGTGTTTGCTATTGCATGAGTGTGATGGGTTCTGGGAACAGTGATGGAAGTTCTGTAGGTAACATGGGTATATGAAGTGACTACATCTGGGTTACAGAGACAGCGACACCCTATGTGAAAATAATGACTACTTAAAGTTGGCTGCCTCTGGGTATAATGATGTCAATATTGTGTTACTGGTGTTATAGTAATTGTACTGGTATTTTTTACTCCACCCACAAATATGCTTCTTTTATGTATCTGGCCATCTTATTGATAAAGGACCTGTGTCCTCCCCCCACCCGCACCACCATGCATAAGTTTAGCACCAGTAAAATATTGTATAGTAGATACTGACAGGCCTAGGTTTGTTGAAGCTCCATGTAGGTTCAATGTGTTTTGTGGGAATGTCACACATAATTACAAAATGTGTTGTGAAAGTGAACACACATTGATGGGACAAACCATTTATGCACAACTGAGGGCCCCGCATGCTTTGTGGGGCTGTAGCACTAAAAGCACAGTATCATGTGTTTACCGCAACATGATAGTGTGTATGGGGCCTGAATGGCAATATTTTTGAGTTCAGTCTTCTGTTACCAGATATAGCTCAGTACAGACATGTATCTTCACTTCTGAATCTTTTGTTTTGTTTTCTTCTCTCTATAAACTGGATTACTAATTCTACATGCCAATTTTTTTCTGGATTAAGTTAGTAGGTCATAATGTCTGGACAAGCGACTCTTCAAATCCTTCTGTTTCAAAGATAGTGTCCTTTATCCATGAAATATAACTAGACACTCTTGTATATACACCATATTTTCCTTCTGCTGCGCATCCTTCTCCCCAGCTCACCACCCCCACCAAGTACCAGGTATTGCGGTAAAGTACAGCAAATGGACCTCCACTGTCCCCTTTACAGGCATCTTTGGTTTCAATGTTGTACCCAGCACAGAACATGTTTCCTGTTAACACTTTTTCAGTGGTTGCCATACAGGTCTCTTGGCTGACAACAGGTAGCTGGACCTTTAATAGGAATCGACTAGCACGTCCTAGGTATCGGGTAGATCCCCAGCCACTTACTTGCCCTACTGCCCCTTCTTGGGTTAGTAGACGCCCAAGGCTAGGACTGGGCAAGCAGATGGGTCTTGAGTATTCACTAAAGACAGCTCGGCTTTGTAAGTACAGTAGTGCAATGTCATGATCATAATGTTCCCCTAAGTAATATGGATGAGAGAAAACTTGTAACACAGTAATCTTCTGTTCATCCCGATCCCGCAGATTTTTGTCATAATCCCCTAGAAATGAGATAAAAGGAAAGTAAGGGAAAAATAAATAAATATCTGTCAAAAGAGGCTTACAGAAAAGAAGTGAGCACCACTTGTGAAGACTGGGCTTGGAGTTAAATGCTGGAAAAAGCCAATATTTTGTGTGTGTGTGTGTGTGTGTGTGTGTGTACACACACACTTTTATGTTACTTTTTCACGAAGGCTGTGAGCAAACACAGCCAGGAAAGAAGTAATTGGGGTCAATGCCTTGACTTAATTTTTACAGATAATGTGGTGAATGTTCACTCTGCAAAGTCAATGTTAAGTCAGGAATATATGTTTCTATTTTTTCATTCAACCCGCAGGCTGAACAAAAAAAAATAGAACCTCGCTGTTTACATTGCATTGTGACAGCGGCGTATTGGCTGCAAGCTCTTTTCGGCCAAGAATTTTCCAACTGGCTCCTTCAACAGCCAGCAGCTGCAGTCACTATGCGAAGTTCGTCCGCTTGATCAGCAAATTCGGTGTTTACCCGACTTGTGTGAATAAGTTGAAGCTGCCTTCACTCTGAATACAAAATCATGTGATAGCATCTGTTACCTCAGTTTCTCCTTTACATTGGTTGGGTATTCAAAGTGAACACAGGTTCCATTTATTTTAGGGATGCACCGATACCCATACAAGTATTGGTATCGGTGCCAATACAGGACATTCTGACTTTACATTTTTAAATAGCTTCGGGCTGTCGCCCAGTGGGTCGTTTTTTTCTACATTTAGCCTTGCTTTGGATAAGCAGGGCTAAATGTAGAGTGGGTGAAGCCGTTGCTCGGCTGCTCGTCCGTCCCATCCGCCGGCCCCCCAGCTATACGGTGCGTTCCACCATACCCGAACATGTGGGTGCCGCCATCTTGGTGCATAACAAGATATACTTCAAAATGGTGGCGGGCATGCGCAGAACACACTGGCAGCACATATGGCCACCACTCATTCTGCGAATTATGTCAACCAACGCCGCACACACGTGGCGTCATGTGACATCATGCACCCCGCCTCCAAGATGGCAGCGGGCATGCATGCCAAATGGCCGCCGCACGTTCTGATAACAAATTTATATATGCCTGAATATCATTTTAGTATATTTGGGCATATAAAAAATTAATGTATATATAATGTATCCATGTCATTATAGTATGTTGAATATCATTACAGAAAAAAAGTTATCATTTAACTGTCACGACTGCCTAAAATGGCCGTATCCACAGTACATCTATTATGTGTAATATGATGACTCACCAATGGTAATATGATGAGGAACAATATCCTCGAAGCAGTGAGCGGCTGACAATACCCAGCGTTCGCTAATAAGACTGCCGCCGCAGAAATCTACTCCTCGCCTTGTGCGGATTAAGACCTAAAAGAAACATTATCATGATTACAGGACAAGTGCAAACATTCATTAACAATACAGCCCTTATGGTGTGGGAAAAGATTAATTGGGCAGTTGAACAATTGTGGTAAACTAGCTGGCTGTCAGCACCACAGGTTTAATCCTTCAGCCAAAACTCATGTTACCTGCTAATTGGTTCCAGCTGTGACTCAGTGGAGAGTGTGTCAGATCTCTGTAGAGAGACCACTGCTTCCACACAGGGAGCAAGAGTCCTTCTCTGCAGCATACTGGCAGGGCACAGGCTTTTCTACTCAGGTTGTTGCTGCTTCATGAAGAAAACAATGGATGGAATGTATTTAGCTGCTTTAACCCTATAGCTGTATCAATGTAAGGCTTATGTCGGCAGTAGCATGGGCTATTAAACACACTCCCAGCCAGGGGCGTATCTGCCGCGAGGCAAACAAGGCGTTTGCCTGGAGCGGCAGATTCGCTGAGGGCGGCGATGCTGCCTTGCCTAGGGCAGCAGCAAAGGTAAATACACCGCTGCTCCCAGCTGCCCCTCCTGTGGGCCCAGGACAGTCATGGCAGGTGTCAATGCCAAGATGGGAGGGAGTCCAATGAATATCCGTTCACTGATCTCCTCTCCTGGGATTCAGAGCTGTCATTCACTGGCCACAGAGGCCAGGGGAGAAGCTAATCAAACACGATCTGTGCTTAATCAGATTCAATTGAACTTTTTTTGTTGTTTTTTTTTTTTTTTAAGGTTATAACTCCTGTCAGCTTTTTTTCACCATCTGTGTCCCATTGAGGAGATTTCTCTTCACTTCCTGTCTGATAGCCACAACAGGAAGTGAAAGGAAACCCTTCCAAATTGAGGGAAATACCTGGTGAATCTCCCTAACAGGAACACAGACAGCAATTAAAACGTGACAAATCTTCCACATTTTTGGCTTCAGCTGCACTTTAAGAATAATTCATGCTTATAAACTACATCTACAAGATCTGCATTTGAAATGTTATATTAACCAAATAAAAATGTTAATTTGCTTTACTGTATGGGTTATCACACATGTACAGCATAAAAAATTAGGTGTATTTCTATAACATGTCGAAAATATTTGAGGCAAGAGGAGTGTTCCATGATCTTGTAAAAAAGTGTTCCTCAGCTCTAGCTCCAATGACCTCCAACCAGGGCCAGGCAGAAGAGGAGGCCACCTTGGGTGTTTCAGCAGTAGGAGGGCACAAAAAGGGCAGGACCTGCAATCTTTGCTGCTGAAGTAACATTACTTTACATTAATGCTTTCTACTGTATATAAAATGGTATACTTAAGAGATCAGTGCTTGTTAAAAAATAAATGTATTTCAAATATCAAATTTGACTAATTTGATAGGATACCTTACATATATTAATCTACTTAAAGGGTAACAGACCTGCCATGGGCATTGCCCCAACTCACAGAGCATGCCTCCAACAATCCGGGCATGTTCATCTTCCCGGCTTTCAGTATAACCATGTCCATTGTCTGTTCCGTTTGTATGATTCATGTTAGTTGCTGAATCATTGATGGGACCATAATCATCGATACTTTTATACGACTTGGTGCCATTTCCTATTTCTCTTGAGTGCTGGGTTGGCATCGTTGCTGAAATGTTTTCCATTGTTTGAGCCCATGCGGTCTCATTACTATGGGACAGTGCTAGTGATTCATTTGAACTTCTTGGTGTGGACATGGTAGGTCTGGTACTGGGTAGTGAATGAGTAGTTATGTTGTAGTTAGTGTTGGAGAGTTCATCCGATTCCTCCCCCAGATCCAGAAGAGAGCGTGATGAGCCAACTGCCAGTCCACAAGGAAACTTCACTGGATGTTAAATAGAAATATGAAATATTACCATCATGCTTGCAGTGCATAACGAGAAAACAGCACCAATGTTCAATGAATGTAGAAATTATTTGTAATAGTTTTCTTTATATGTAGCAGATTTTTTTAAACTTAGTATGGTTTATTATCAGGGCTATTCACTAAAGGGTGAAGAGTTTAGAAAAGAGAGGAGAAGTGAACAATCTAGAACAACATAGCTGAGCTGGAAAGTGAGCTGAATTGGAGAATTTTTCCAAATCAGTTATGTTGTCCTAGATTGTTCACTTCTCCTGCCTTCTCCAAACTCAACACCCTTTAGTGAAAGAGATGAGAGAAGGAATTTGATAAAAGATTGGTGAAGAACTGCTGGCGCAGTGCAGGATTCCAAGTATCTGTGAGGTACCATCAGCTGGGTTGGTACAACACACAAAGAGTGCAATAGCAGTAGCTTGAGCTTTATTACTTTACCTTGACAGGTTAAGGGAGGAAGAAAGCCGGTAAGAACGCCAAGTTTGCTATGTAGAATACTAAATTTGACCCTGTATATACTTACATCTGTGAATTATGGACACTGGCCATCAAGCATTGTCAGTCCATAGAATTTCACTTTAATAAAATTGTCAACCGAAATTAAGCCGTTCACCGAATCAGAATTATAAATTGTATCCGAATATAAAGAGGCAACAGGAAAGGAATACTATTATATTTATAGTTGTACAACTTATGAAAACATACAACCTACCAGCTGGAGCACATTTCTGGCCATTCTCTTCTAGGGTGTAGCCATTTGCACAGGAGCAGGTCACGCTGAGTGCCCGGGGTGTGTCTGTGCAGTACTGCCAGCATCCTCCATTCCTATACCAGCACTCCTGCCGCACTAGAAAACAAAAAGACAAGGTGATCATTACAGTTATCAAATTAATGGGGGCCCACAGTGCACCCTGCTTTGAATGTTATCATTGCTTTTTGCATTGCCATTGTTAAAGGGAACCTGTACAAGAAAAAGTATATAGGATGCCACTGCTGACCCCCTGCTATGGTCATTGCTAGTTGTCTGGCTGTCATTCTGACCCAATGGCTTTCACACTTTTTTCAGTTACCGACTTGAAACACATATGTGGATCAGGAATTCTGACTTCAATTCTTACTTCACTCGCTGCATGCTTGTTCTTTTTCTGTAACTCTGGAAATCTTAACGCCCACTTTCACCTTTGCAGAGGTATTTTTTTTTAAACATACAGTATGCCAGCAATGTACTCCGAGTGTACATGAAGCAGCCATATGCAGTTGCTGAATATGAACACAGAAACTGACTTTTTTGTCCTCTTCATCTCCTCATGGCTCCTTTGGAAATGGCCTTATCTGAGCTCTACAAGCAGTGTGTAAATTAACACTCTCTCTCTCTGAGCTCTCTCCCCCTATTCATTAGTATTCATAGTGGCAACCCCCCCAGGACAGTGTATTGTGACCTAAAAAGGCAGAACTGGTGTTTTGTGATCTTGTTACAATGACTCACAGGGAGGGGGTCAGCTGCTTTATAAGACAATCCAACTCCAGTGTCAGACTGGGTTTCCTGTGGAGAAAACTTTCAATTTGTAGGACTCAGGCCTAATAAAATGTCCATTAAAAAACGAAGAAAGCCTGCAGTGTGAGTCATGAAAATGTCCACAAACATAAATCATCACTGCACCTCCACATTACCACAATACATGCTAATCACTTACAAAGGTGGTAATGGGATTTAAAAATAGCAAGGTAGCGATTATTTCTAAAAAGGTCAGGAATGACATTTTTCATGTTTCTCTCAGTATAAAGGGGTATTCACCTGCACTTATACTCTGGAAATCACGGTACCAGCAGATCAATGCTGATTGTCACTATGTATAGAGCCAGTCAATCAGTGTTCTTCTTGCTTAAAGAAGTGGCTTTGGGAATGCCATTTTTCTGAGTCTCTAAGCCTTAAACAGTGCAATGCACATCCACCAATGGAAACCCATTAAAAGTAATGGGGGGAGGGGAATTTATCAAAACTGGAGCAGACAAAATCTGGAGCAGATTTGCATTGCAACCAATCAGCTTCTCTGTCTCATTTTCAAATCTTACCTGAGCAAACTGAAGAGAGATGCTGATTGGTTGTCATGGGCAACTGCTCCAGATTCTGACTGCTCCAGTTTTGATGAATTGCCCCCACTTTTATTTAGCAGGGAGAGCAGCTTATTGGTGGAAGTTTGGTGGACGACGCTTTTAAGCAGAAGTAGCTGTATTTTCCATGTCAAGCTGAAAACATACAGTACATGTTAAACCACAAAATTATAATTTGTAGAAAGAAATTGTATTTTCATTAAAAAATTCTGATCTGTGAAATGTGTCCAGTAAACTAGTGGTACAAGCATAAGGGTAGCAGGGCTTGTGGCTGCAGCAGGCCTATCTAGACATATCTAAATGCCTTTCCTGTTACAATTACCTTTGGCAAGTATACAGCTAAATAGTTTTTTCTT